GGGTTTTGGATCGCTCCCGCGATCAGGGGATAGTAGGTCTATCAGAGCTAGGGTGTAAGTAGATTATTAAGTGTATATATTTGTTTTGTTTTCTTGTTAATAAATATATTTGTTATACGAAAGCTCTGTGTCTGTGGTCGCTGTGAGTATCCATGACGTCACAATATTCTGCCATTGAATGGAAAGATCCAGCGCCGAACTTCCCGTCGACTATAGGGGGTTTCTCCAACCAGGTATTTCAAACCAGCAGGGCACTGCCCCAGCCGGGACAAGCTCTAAGCTCTGGTCTTCTGGCATGTGTGGTAGCGTAGTGTATTTCAGTATAAATGTGTGTAAGAGGAGAGGAGAGGAGAGGACAAGGAAGGGGAAGGAAATATCGCGCGTGGTCCTAGATCCATTTGTTAAAGTACTGTTCCGGCATTCCCGGTGTTGATCAAAGGAACCACGAAAAACTTCTGATCAGAGCAGCCCCCCGTTATAATTCTCCTCTAGACATTCGACCTAGCTATGTAGATAGAGTGCCACCATCTGGACACGAACCTGGGATCTCGCGGTCAGATGTACTGCAGGGACATCAGTTGCCACCTCTCGCGGTTTGCGATCCGCGAAGGAAGCTCGCCTAATTGGGGATTCCCACCCGTCCGTGGGGCGAGGCAGCAGCCGCGCGTTCCTGCGGCGAGCGGCGCGGTGGCGATGGGCGGCGGCGGCGCCGCCCACACGTAATGTAGTATCGGCCGCGTTGCAACTCAATAAGCGCAGCCACACGAATCAAAGCGTGAGAGAGAGAGAGAGAGAGAGAGAGAGAGAGAGAGAGAGAGAGAGAGAGAGAGAGAGAGAGAGAGAGAGAGGGTTGGGTAGGTGGTGCCGCGGCGCGAGCCGATAAGCACAACTCGTAGCCCGCGCCTCGCGCCACCCGCCCAGCCACCTTCTCCCCGAATAGCCGCCCGGTGACCGCGTTGCTCACGCACTGTCGCCCGTGTATTGTCGTAGAAGTCGTTCGTTAAGGGAATGCTAAAGATAAAACGTATGTGGAAGTTGTGTTTATTTAATTACTTTATTGTGTCGATTTAAAGTCAGGGGTATCAGAAAATTTAACTGCTGGACGGAAACTTAATAAAAATTATCAAATGGAATCAGACATAATTACGTACGAATTGTTGCAAGTAATATATAAAAATGACAAAAACAATGTTACAAATATTTCGTGATGTTTTACAAAAATATATCCAGATTACCAAACAATTTGTTAATCATTTTAGTACTTTATGTATTCTTTATATAGTATTAAACTAGTAGTCGCGTATTTTTCTGTCGCCCCAAAGCAGTATTTGTTTTGAGGTTTTGCGTATTGATTATTGCCATCTGGATATTTCCATTCCAGAAAAAACGAATTACATTTTCAAAAAAGTGGAGTTTGTTTGTTAGAAAGTGCATGTCCTTGGCTTCTGCGATTTCAATATCACAGAGTTCATATCCTTGCATTTATATTCTAATTCAAAAATTTAACGGATTTGTCTGAGTCGTAAAATAATGATTTATGATGACGACTGTTTATAAATGCATGCTCTTTTTTGTAGATATCTTTATGTAAAAGAGAGTTAGAATGAATTTTTTCTTCAAATTTCATGGAGTAAAACAAAATTCACCTAATGCAATAAATCGATTTGTTCTAAATTTAATACGATTTGTAACCATAGTTTGATCAGTATGTATAAGAACGAGTGAACAATTTTTTAAATTAATATAAATGTTTACCTAAAATGATAAAATAATATAAAAATGACTCAAAATCTTTACACGCGTTTCTTTCACTGCATTTTCTTTTAAATTTATTTTTAAGACAATAACAATTGCCAATTAATATACCACGTTCCTTCGTAATGAATTACGACATACATGTGTCCACTCAAAAAATATACAATTTAATTTCGTACACAATCATTTACGAGTTTCACAATGGTGCTTAAAATAAAATCTTTCGATCTTTACTTGCTGCACTTGATAGTTCCAAGATTTAAAATAATATACTTAATACATATAACAGCTCCTCTAAAGAACGCTAAATCAAATAACGTTTATAACATTCACCTTCATCATTTTAGCTCTTTTAATCTCACTAAAACGCAATTCCACGAACTTCGTTTGTCACTCATTCATCTAAGTTTCTTCCGCAGCGCCGTTCAGAATTAGTGAGAGGAAGATGTTCGGAAATAGCCACTTGAATTCCGTCAGGTCACGCCAGTAATTATCCGTGACATACGGTATGGCTTGCTATATATCACCGCCCCCGCTGAATTTCCTTATTACATAGCGGTCGTTTAGGCGAACTGGTTCGTCGACTACGAAGCGAGTTCTTTCAATAAATCCATAATTCCCAACAACAAAAAACGTTAACCGACGTGAAAGGCAAACTTTGGAGGTTCAGGCGGGCGCTCTCAGGCCGCCCGCGCGTTTACGGAGAGAGTTCCGGCCGCCCCCGCCGCCCTACTCTCCCACCGCCCCCGCCTTCTCCGCCGCCGCCGCCGTCGCCCTGCGCCAGCTCCGCAGTCTCCACTTCTACATGCGGTGACGACATCATCGCATCCTTTTCCACCCACTGTGACGGCCTCAAACTTCCACCTCCCCGCCTCCTCTGTGCCTGCCCCTACAGCTGCCCCCTCCGCCGCTGCTCACAACCCAAATATAGCCTTCATTTCCGCCTCCACTTCCATTCCTGCCAGCCTTCGCCTTCACCCCGCCTCTCTTCCGCTTGCACCACCGTCACCGGATTCCCCTCCACCTCCCCCTCCAACTTCACCTCCACCTCCACGTCCCCCTCCATCTCCTCTTCCGCCTTCACCTTCACATCCACATTCTCCTCCACCTCTTCCTCCGCTTGTGTCTTCCCCTCCTTCACCATCTACACATACCTCTCCCTCTCCTCCTCCAACTTCCCCTCCTCTTCCACCTTCATCTTCACCTCAATCTTCCCGTCATCTTTGCCGAAATGCCCTCGCAGCTGCCACCCGGTCGCTGCCATCCTAGCTACCGTCTTCATTTCCGCCTCCACCTCCATTTTCGCCTTCATCTTCGCCTTCACCTCTCCTTCCACCTCCTTTCCCTCTACTTCCGTCTTTACCTTCCCCTCCACCTCTGTTTTCACGCCCGCCATTACCTTCGCCTCCACCATTCCCGCCACCACCTCACTATCTCCAACTCCGCCTCCAACTCCGCCTCCGCCTCCGCCTCCGCCTCTGCCTTCCTTCTCCACCATCTTCACCTCCACCTCCGCCATTACCTTCCCCCCCACCATTGTCTCCATCTCCACCTTCGATTCTAACTCCGCCTCCGCCTTCACCTCCACCTCCACCTCGACCTCCGACTTCACCTTCACTTTCCCCTCCGTCTTCATCTCTGCCTTCACCTTCACCACCTCCACCTCCGCCTTCATCTCCTCCTCCCTCTTCGCCACCACCTCCGCCTTGACATCCCTTTCCACCTTCCTCTCCACCTCCACCTCCGCCTTCGCCTTCTTATCCACTTCCGCCTCCGCTGCGACGTGAACTGTGACCTGCTACCCTCTCGCACGAAACTCCTTGGAGGAAACTTCGGGGAAAGCTCAACACGCGACTCGCCCTCACACCCTTCGCGGCCGGCGCGGCGCGGCGCGGCGCTTCAGACGGCGCGGGCGAAACCTCGACACAGCGCGCCTCGGGTGATACGCCGTTTATCAAGTTTTCGTTCGGGGGAAAATGTGAAGAACGGCAGGCAGTTTGGGAGAGCGGTCGGACCAACGCTACGTGCTGAGATTTTTACAGATCTTGTTGAGTTTTCGGGAATATTTTCCAGGCAGGAAATGAGTTTTGGGAGAGTGTGTAAATTCTCACGAAAGAATAATCCTTATTAAAGATATCTAGGATTTATTTCTGAAGTACTATCTTTTCCACACAGAATATACAGTAGTAATTTTCTCTTTACCACGTTCAGTATAGATCTTATTGTTCATTACAAATAATATTCGCTTAAACTGGGTTGCAGCGGTATGTGAAACGACTTCACATATTTTTGAAACAATATTAGAAAAAATGACACGCTTAATGAATACGTCTGTCTAATAGTTACTCTTAAACAATTTATCTGGAACCTTTCGTAACCGCATACGTTCTTCATACGCATCTCGAATTTTTAAATACGAAATAAGTTAATTGATCAGGATAAATTATCGACGTAAACTGGCGCTTAGAAATCGAGAATGTAATATTTTACTATTCTTAAGAAACTGAAATGAAAAATGGATAGAATTGAGATACGTATTCATTCATTGAAACTTTACTTTTCCTTCAAAGAGACCAAACGCGCTACTTATTCCTCTTTTATTTCTCATCTTATGGGTCTCAATACTGGTTTAGAAACTACAAATCAAAATGTGATTATATAAATGTGTAATGATACTCGAACGAGTCTTTGTAGAGTACGTTGCGTTTTAAAATGGAATAAATGATTGATACCTCATAAAATTATGGCAGTTTTACAGCAGGTTACTCAGTTAAATAAAAGGATTTCATGACAATGGTTTGTCAAACTTTTCTCCGCGTCCTTTTCTGTCATAACAAGTGTTTATATTTTCTCCGGAATAATACCGTATTAGTTGAATGTCCTATTAATCAGCGGCCTTTCTCACCCCGGTACAAGGAGCGTGATGGCAGGAAATGAAAGCAATCACATCTCTCACGACACCTCTATTGTTATGTCTCTACGCAATCATTAACACAACGCATGCCTGACTAAAACATCTGCAGCCACAAAAAGTGTGGCCCTGTAAAACTACAACAAATTCCCTTTTATTATTTCCCGGGCCCAAGAGGGAAGCGCTGACAGCCGCCCGGTGACGAACATATCTCTCTCGGGGCCATTGTGCACCGCGCGCTGGGCCTCATGAGACGTCGTCTTTACGGCAATGTTAACAGCGACGTCGCGCTGTAAAAGAGCGGCCGCATTGACGCCCGTTTCTTTCTCCGCAGACGCATGTTCCCGACGGTGAAGGTGCGGCTGACGGGACTCGACCCCAGTGCCTCCTACATCGTCTTCTTGGACATCGTGCCGCTTGACGACAAGCGGTACCGTTATGTGTATCATAGGTAAGGTTCACCACAGGAAGTTGAAGATATTTTTTTTTGAAAATGGAGAATTGTGAAAGTCGTGAAAGAATTTATTAACCTGTTCTTTATAAATGGTGTAGATACATTTTGCTTTAGGGACTAGATTTAGAACTTTGTATGCTTTCCAGTGTCATTTAGTTTTTCTTCAACCAAGTTCATCCAATAATTGATCATCGTTAATTAGTAATAAGTTGAATTTTTATTAAAATTTGATATTTGAAAGTCATTTATTTGTATAATATAAAGAATTTGTTGTTTTTTAAGAAGTACCTTAATAATTGTTGGTAAATATTAAATACATCTCTTTCAGTCAGTCTTTTTCCAAATATATCCAGCTTTATATGACTCAAAATACTTTTAAATTTTAAGTTCTAATAAAATAAGTTTTTTAACTGTGCTCTATTGAATACGCTTTTGTATGATTTCCAAATGGCTCCGGGAATATTTGTTTCACTACACATCAAAACATTCAATTTCACTTCCACAAATATTTTTTAAAAACGCATTTTATGATTCAATTTATACTGAATAAAAGTCATTCTTGCAATTTGTGATCTTTTGTTTTCAATTTATTAGGTGAAAAATAACTTAAATAGCAATATTTATAATTCTCACCTTCTTTTTACCCTAGGCTGATTGGCATCGCTAATGCACATGTCATTACCTTTTTTTACATGTCACTTTTATTGTACTGAATTTAATAATAACCTCGTGTTCCTTTGAGGTAAAAGGGACCCCGAACATTACAGAACAGCAGTTTAAATATGTTTTAGTCCTCTGAATGAAAATGGACGTGCGTCTACGTTCATTATTGTATTTTGCACATAGATCACCTTCAGGAAGAGAAAAGAAATTGGAATGGTTGTGTTCAATATGCTAGCAAAAGGTGGACATACTGTCATTTACCTCATGGATGCAACATATCAAACGACTTGTATTTTCTGTCAAAGATTTCATGTTAAATTCAATATTTGCAAAAGACTTAACTTAATTAACATTTACAACACTTAAAAAATATGTTTCTAATTCATACATCATCAGCGTGTAAGAAATGTGGCACGCCCCAAAACTTAACATCTTTCAAGAGAACGTACTTAATCCGACCCGAGCCCACAACTCGATTAAAAATATCTAGTGGTGCTACAGAATTAAACAGATTTTATCTTACTAGTAAGTTTTCGATTCTTTAGAGTATGGACTATATTTTGTTCCCACCCTCCTCCTAGCAGCAGTTTATCGATGCGTACAAGACCTTCGAAGTCTCCTGGAGATACGTCCGTTTTTATGCAGACCAAATGATGGTTGTTTGTTCGCTATCTTTATGAAATATTTAGTACTGAATGTAGAGTATTTTCTAGATATATTTCTCCTCTTCACCCCGAACCACCTATTTTGGAGGCGTGTCGCAGTGTGTTCGATGTGTGTCGCAGCTCGCAGTGGATGGTGGCCGGGTCGGGCGACCCGCCGCTGCCGCGCTCGCTCTACGTGCACCCCGACTCGCCCGCCTCGGGCCAGCTGTGGATGGCGCAAGGGGTGGTGGCCTTCGACAAGCTCAAGCTCACCAACAACCGGAAGCCGCTGGTGCGCGGACAGGTGAGCTCCCCTCCCCCTCAACACCACTTTGTTTTATTGTCCACAATTTACTTTCGCTTGAACTCAAACCACGCAAAAAAAACCTAAAATATAATTGATTGATTATTTCGTGCTTCTGGGCGTGCCAATGGATATGGCAATTACTCCCGTAAATGTAGTGCATGTTTTGTCATGGGAGTTCTTCCCCGCTAGAATGCGAGATCCGGCGCCGACATACACGTCGCTTTTCCGAGAAATTCCTTTCTAGGTATCCCTCACCACCGGGATACCACCCAAACAAGGACAAGCTCGAAGCTCCCGACTGGTTTCCCAACATGTGTGATAGTGTAGTGCGTGTTAGTGCAAGTGTGTGTAAGTAAGGAGTGAGGAGTAAGTAAGGACGAGGGAAATGGAAGGAAAGGTCGTGCACAGTTCGTTGCCCGTTTGTTAGGGTACTGCTCCGGCACTCACCTGATATTTATCAGAGAAAAATACCGAACAGGGCACCTGTCGCTTGAGTTCTCTTCCAGATGCTGAATTCGATCGAGCTATCCGCTATCGTCTGAACTCGAACTTAGAACCTCCCAATCAGAGGCACTAAAGTTGAAGCACTACGCTACCGCTGCCAGCGGTTTAAAATATTTGATATCAACGTTTTGAAGGTGTGCAATGTATTAGAGGACCCTTGTTGAATTCATTTCAGATTTTTTTATGATTAATGTGCTGAGATTTTTTTTAATTGCTTGGCTGTATGTTTTTGAGAATTTGAGTCTGTGAGAATTTTTGTGTTTATATTAATGTTTATGAATTACCCTGAATGTGTACCATTGTGTTGTATGATTTATTTAAGTATAAATATAATTTTAAAATCTTGAAAGGCAGCAGAATGTCGAAAAGGAGATTTTTTTAATTGCTGAAAGTTTCAGGAAAAGGTTCATGGGGGTTTATCAGACCTCCTTCAGAGCATTTGTTTGTGCTTTAACATATTTTTTTTCAAATCAATTACAATTTTAATGACCACATCACATTCCAAAGGAATGTTAATGTCATTATCCATCCACATTTTTTATTTCATACTAACACGTTTCAAGGGCAAAAAAACTTATCAGGAATTGGTTCGAATTAAAATACTCATTCCTAAAATACGTTAAGTATCCCACTTTGTGTGACACTGTAAATGTAATTTGAATTGTATTTACCAGTACCGTCCGTAAATGAAGGCCGTCCATATCTTCGGAGCCGTCCGTAAATTATGTAATACATATTTGGCGTATTTAGAATACCCCTTAATTATCTCATGCTTGTGACACCCCCTTCCACATATCATAAGTAAAAATACATTATATCACAATAAAAACAATTTTGAATTATATAATTAAAGTGAGAAGTAGTTGATGACGCTGACTGTTCCTAACAAAAATATTTTTGAGTTAAGTAAGCTAAGTAAATATAATTGAATTAACCGCATTTTTTAGTAACACAGAGGCAAGAACATTTGAACAATGACAATAAACCTTGCTCTCGCCTTCGTGAATGACGCAAGATTGATAGTCTACTATGGTAATTTAGTGTTATACTATAGATCAGTTTTAAATATTTTTTTCGTAATCCAACATATTTAATCAACAGGCCGTTGAAGAAAAACTGTTTCAATTTATTGTAATAATGTATGAATCACAACTTTTAAATTTATACTTATTCTTTAAATTTAATTAGTTTTGAAATACTTGAGTACAAGACTGAATAAAAGAAACGTTGATTTTTTTTAAAAATGTAGCAAACAACTAACTAATCCCCCGTTACGCTAAGTAACGCAGAACGCTTCTCACCTTTTAGCGAATAGATGAACGATCCCTGACAGCATTTCTGGTAGGGCTTTTTGGCGATTCAGAAAATAGCATGGGCAATGGAAAGATCCATAAAGTGAGATTTTGAGAAGACGATTCTCATAAGGGATACTAGTATGAAACTTGAAAGTATATCATTCCCTTTAATTATTTATTTTCTAGTCCCTGAACAGATTTGCTTTTATTTATTTGGCTTTAAGAAGTGGAAGCTCTAAGTAACGTTTGTTTGACATGCATAATAAATAAAATGTTTCCAAACACCCGGTAGTTATTGGGTTTGCCAGTCCACAAGAACTTCCTAATGGCTAATCTCAAACTTATTTCTTTTTAAATTATTCTTAATGTTTCTCACATAAAACACTATTATTTACTTCGAAAGAAAGTAAATTCAATGTTCTGTTGCTGCTTTCTTTAAAGACTACAATACTTTCTTAATGTGAAATACCATAACTATATAGTTTTTCTGATGATGAGTGTATTATCTTTGATTGCGTTTCATCTTTTCAGATTTCATTATTGTGAATGAATTTGATTTTTCATTGATTCGAAAAATTAGATACTCGATAATAAGTACCCTGTGCGCATTTAAGATAAGGGCTTTATGGCTTTATCATAAAGCCTATATCATTAAGAAAAAAAATTGTCACGAATTATACTACTTGTCACTATCTCCTTCCGGATACTTCTGATATTTGAGTCCCTTGAATGACGCCATTTTTCTGTGAAATAATGGTCAGTTTCTCGGAATCTTTGTTAGTGATATTAAATCGTGTATCAAAATGAGTACAAAATACGAAACGGATTAATCAGGTATCAGAAACTTTTATCAAACGTAATTAGGCTAAAACGGATAAAAATTTTGCGCTTACGTATCGGACCTTTTTAAATCTGTTATTTTATAAAGAACTATCTCTCTCAGTTGTTTTCCACATCAACACTTAGAAATGTACAATTTCGAAAATTGTTTTTCACATATTTGTTTCATGGTGGTACAATAGAAAATTTGTACGCGGACTGTGTAATTGAGTTCCGGAACTCAAATGACTGCTTAATTATTATTTACACAAAATGTTTATTCCTCGTTGTTTAGTTTTATCACATGAAAAGTCAAAATCACTTCCCGTCGCATTCAAAAATGGAGACCTATTGCAACCGATGTAATTAGAACTAGACAGGAGGGAATACATTTTTAGCAAATGTACTTCAAATTTTGAGACTTAGCCTGAGCGAAGGTTTTTCATTATTACTTTGTTGTAGTCTGAAGTCCTTTTTACATGGTCATTTGTTTCATCATTTTTCAACGGTAAAGAAACGTGACGAACCAGACCGGATGTAATTTGTACAGAAGAATGACGCACGCTTCATTTTTCGGTAGAGATTTTTATCCGTTTACATAATTCCGCTCCTGGTGTTACATTTCGGACCTATTCCGGGTTTGCTATGTGTCAGGTGTGATTTGTTGCTTTTGTACGGTTTTGAGTGTGTTGTAGTACGTTCGTTAGTATTGTGTAATGTGAAAGAATTATGTAGTGAGAAATAAAACATGTACTGTGTTCTGATGACGTCTCTTCTCGTACTTAGTTCTAATATAACCTAACTTAATTTGTTTCCACAAATGCTACGTTCAACTGTTTCATTTTTAGCGCCTATTGCGACGTCTAGAAAAAAATATTTTCAATACGATTACGTGCAGAAAAAGAAATGACCGTGCAAAATGCTTCAATATGTTTACCAAGTTTCGATAAGGAAACAGTCTCGCAAAGAAAGGAACGACCCTTTTCCATCCATTTTGTGCACAGAAAAACGAAAAAATGTCCGTGTAAAATGAACGATTAGACTTTTTAAAACTTGTATTTATTTACTGCCTGATCGACTGCAGAAGTCTTTCAGGGTTTTTAAAAATTACAATTCAGTGACTTATTCGCATTGTTCACTCGCAAATTGATTTTCTCCATAAGGCCAAAACAAAGATTATAAATTTTGATTAAATTAATTTGCAGAGAATGAATGTATATTTAATGCAGTAGAACCTCACTAATCTAAGCCCCGCGATTCGAAAATTTCGGATAATAGGAACAAAATTCGGGATGGAGGAAAAAAATAAACAAAACAAATAAAATGCTTATTTGTAGTGTAAAAAACGGATTTTATAATTACTGTAAAACTAAATCTCTAATTCTTGAAACACAACTTGTCGAAATGACACGTTTATAGTACTGGCAACTACAGTGTATATCAAATGTTTATGTAGCAGTACTTTGCACTTAGAAGAACTTGAAAAATCGGTAATATTCTCGGTCCTATAATCAGAAATCCTATAGATGTGTTTGTATATGTACGGTACATTTTTTGGATAATCGGAACATTTCCGAATCCGAAAACACCACACCCCCAGTTATTTCCGATTATCAGGATTATACTGTATTGTTAAATGTATGAAAATGAGAGGAAATATAGCGTTAGTTGTCAGTGTGTATAGTAGTGTGGAAGTTCAATGAAAAAAGTGTAATTTTTCTGTGGTCTGAGTCGATCTTCGGGGAATCGGGCCTAATGATATGATATGATTGTATAAGTTAGACTTATTAAAATAGTTATTATTTTAGTTATAATTTTATTATAATTGTTATTTTTTATTATTAGTAGTATTGTGATAATCAATATTAAATGCATTGGTTTGTTTAATATACAATTATATTTAAATTAGTAGTTGAATGGGAGTGACGTGACGTGTTGGGAAGTGTAGTGAAATAGAGAAGTCAAGTGCAAGTGTAGTGTAGCGAAGTGAAATGTAAGTGTAGTGAAGTGAAGTGAAGTGAAGTGTAGTGTATTTATTACTTAAAAATTCCGTGCAGGACAGTCATAAAATGTATAGGTAATGCTGGTATTGTTATTATTGTAATATTATTGTTATTATTGCCTTAAAATCCTTTAAAATTACAGTGTATTACTATTCTTAGTTGTAATACGTAAATTGTAGTGTTCTACCTCCAGGTTCTATACCTATCTGCAGAAATAATAAATCTATCTATCTATCTATTTATCTATTTGTCTATCTATCTATTTATCTATCTATCTATCTAT